AAACCCGTGTGCAAAAAGACCGTGTAAAAACAGACTTAGGTGTATTTTCAACATTTTATTTACAGCATCACTTGCTATTTTATAATTTCTTTGGAAAATTTCCATTTATTTTTAGATTTTCAATTACAGTAGTTAACATCTCGTGTCAAAATCTTCAAGTTTATTGCATTTCGTGCAAGCTTATAAATTGCAATTGTTTTTCAAACAATTCAGAACAAATTACTTTTTGTAACAAATTACATATTGAAATTAATTATTACAAAAATATAGTTTTCAATTTCCCATATTTTTCTGAAATCTATACATATAGTTTTCAATTTCCCATATTTTTCTGAAACCTATACATTGTATTTCACAATGCCACTCACTCCTCTAGATTTATTCATCCGAGCTACTGATGCTTTGGTAAAATTTGACGCCAAATTCAGTTCCCAACGGGACGACGAGCTCGATGTCTGTGTTTTAGAATTACAGGGAGCTGAGGTCAAGAGATTATGGGAAAAGGTATAAACCACGTACGACAAATGCCAAAATTATTTGACAGAACAAGATTGTTCTAATGACCATTTCACTGCCGCAGAAACCAAATGCGATGTCGCTTATAATTGCTTCCTTAGGGTTCTGTTTTCAATCAATAGAAAGTTAGATGAACTTCGGGCTTCTCCTGTACGCTTTACGAGCAAACTTCAAATACAGCCCACTTCTCTCATACATTTTCAATAACACATCTGGTCACTTTCAGTTTCTTCTATTCATTTGATACGCAAATGTCTCAAAATTGTTCTACGGGTTTACGACCTCATATATTTATTCTAAATCCCATAATCTTCACCAGGCAAATTTGTGTAATCAAATATAATACACTGATGTTACGCATCTTTCATAATTACAAATACTTCCACATCGTGAAAATAACGCCGAATAGTAGAGGTGCACTCGGGATTTTCATACGGAAAACGGCACTTTATAAAAGTTGTTGTGCAAATAATTATCATAGTCCATATCTCGAGTCGTCTTTTGCCACCTCTTTACTTGTTCGCGTAATGAAAAATGACCATTGATGGTCGCGATAGAGTCGCGTATTATGGGACTATGATAATTACAAAACGACCTACGGTTTTTACTGGTCATTCTGGCCATACATTTAATAATTATAATCCTCGTTTTGGTATAACATCCTCTCTATTTTTCACAGAAGATGGAAAATTTAGGTACGATGGCTGCGGTACCCCCGATATTGAAGACGACGTCCTCATGTTCGATGAGGAAAGGGACTTCAACCTCACAGGTGTCCCCATCTCCGACGAGACTATGACCTTCGGGATCTTATGAAGCTGCTTCTCCATCGGAGGAAAAATAATTTAAAATCCACCGACGACGGCCCCTGAAGTTCCTTCAGGAGAACCGGTGGTGTCGCCGCCTCTTTCGGCACACTGTCGAAAGAACGTCGTCGACGGTCCCTGAAGTTCCTACAGGAGAAAAGTGGTGTCGCCACCTCCTTCGGCACACTCTCGAAAGAACCAGAGTTCGAAAAGAGCGTGCATAATGTTGTTCCAACAAAATCAGCCTCTAAACGTCCGTCCCTTAACTCATCATTGGCTTCGGCTTCAAGTCCCTACGAACTTACGAAAATGCTCTCAGCGAGTCATTGGTTTGAGATATACCACTTTTATTTTTATTTCAATTTTTTTCATTTTGCATCAACGCAAACTCCGTTCGAGTCGGATTCTACAATAAACCTCCTAACCTTTACAAGGAAAACCTAAAACGACAACGTCGTCGTAAACACAAGATTTTCGCCTTCGCAATAAATATCCTTTTTGTATAAATTTTCTTTGTGGTTAGCTATGGTCTAAATTCTATTCAAAATAAAATTGCACACGGGTTATGGCATGAACAAAATATATATCCTGTTGTAAATGTTTGCAATTTGGTTCTTTGGGAAGCTAAGAAATGACCCCTTCCCATTAATAAAATCTTAGTTCCAAAAACTGTTCCAAACTATTTATGTTCACATTTGTTTATAAAGTTTACAAATTTAAAACAATATTTCAATGTGCTTGACAATTATCTTCACAAACAAAAACGAAAAAACTTTGAAACCACATGATTGTCACTTACACCTTATTTAATACACCAAATTAATGTTAAACGCACCTGCAAGAGTTCACCAAAAAGTCAGCCTTGCAGAAATGTTTTTCCAAATTAAGCGATACACATTGGAAGAACATACAAACCTGTCAGAATGTCTGCTTGAGAACTGCGACAGGGACGCCAGTGTACCATTTACAAGAGAGGCAATGGTCTTACCTGTACATCGTCACAACAGAATGTTGTCGATGCAGTACCTGCTTGGGTGTTATCGCAGGAATCATCCATGCTATCATCTTATAAAGGGAATAAAAGAGAACCCCTAGATCAAGGAGATCGCCGCCAAGAAAATGTACCGGAGAGCAGTTAACTACTGCAACCGATTCATCGGACGAGACAGCGACTCCATCACGGGAAAGGAGTTCCTTTTAATCAAGAGGAACCTCAAATTTATCCGGAAGTTCTCCAGGAACTATCCGAACGATATTGAGAGGTACTTCTTGATTGAAAGGATCCCCCGATCCAGTAGTAAGACCACCACGGTAGTCCCTTCAAAGAAGGAGAAACCTGTCGGGGGTTCTAGTACTCCTAGGAAGCTGATGACTGAGACTTCTAAGCCCTTAGCACCCACCAAGCCTAAACTGAGTACTGAGACGTCCCAGACACCAGCATCCACAAAGACGGAAGGTAGGGGACTGTAGAAGTCGACCCGAAGGAGAGCCCGTTGTTTAAGCAGGAATCGCTATTTAAAATCGTTAAATAGTTAGCCTTTAATTTGAAAGGTCGTAGCCGTTGAAATCTGTCTACTCCTCATTATTACATCATTGTGATATTATGAGGCTGACAGATTTCAACGGACTTTTGTTTACATTTTGAGTTTGTGCCACCTTTAGGCATCTTTGTGTTATTATTCTTATTAATTGGTTACTCTTTCGTTGTAATCTTTCAACTGGCCACACATATTGTTGTGATCGATCACCAGCGCTTAAATTGTGAGCCATCGTACATATTGTTGTACATTACAGGCAATATCGTTTACCACAAATAAATATCGGCATTGGTCGAAACCCTTTACTAAAAACATATCGTGTTTTATTTCTATTTACATATTTTATTTTGGCTCCGGAGTACTATCGTGTACTGGATCTATTAGGAGAGCCTCTCATTGCACTGTACCTGCCAACCACCCAAGTCCCTATAGTGCGGACTTAACACCCGTAAAAGGGCCTCCAAGAAGACCGATAAGGCACAACCACCCTCTGTCGAATTGCCAAAGCCGATACCCAAGGCTGTGACAGTTGGGCAGTTGCTAGTGGATGCGCCGAAGGTAGCGAGCGCGAAACTGGTGGCATATCTCTGCTTCGGTTGCAACCCCGGGTGCCAAATCTCGACCACAGACCACGGCTATCAAGAGAATGAGGTCCTCGCAGGAACAACAATCTGCTGCAAAGAGACCAATGCAGTGGTCGGCTGCACAAAGCTCTGCTTCGTTTACGTCGATACGCTGCATTTAATTGCCATGCTAAACCCACGCATCTGTCTCCGGAATATCTTTGGACGCAGCCGATGCAGATTGCAACCTTCATGAACCTGGAAACAGAGGAGTCAGAACTAAAATAATAGAAAAATAGAACAAACATGTAGACAGTTGCTACAACAACAACTAATCCGCCTTTGTCCGGTCTTTGGTGTGTACGCGATCCCTTTGTATAGGTAGGTAGCCCCCTCGGTCGGCAAGGGCGGGTGTGAGACCCGTGAAAGCGAACGATTAAAAAAGGAGGATATATAATAAAGAAAAATTTCGAATTGTATGCGTACCGAATTGTCCTTTTGGCTAATTTTTAAAAATATAATTTGTCATATTCATATTGATACGAATATAACGTCAAATCAGCTGGGATTTTCTGTTATCTTTTATAATTGTACCATATTCCCAACTTAATTTTAAAAAGTAAACCTGATAAATTTTTTTTTGCGTTTTTTGGTAGAAGTTTAATAATATGTTTAATGAACAGAACAGATTGTTGCGTTTGTTGTTATTTATTTTGAAATTATAGTCCATAAGGTAGAGGTGTATTTTCTCTTATTTAATTAAAAAATACCATACCTTATATAATTGTAGCATGATTAACTCTAATTATAAATATTTATAACTAGTCCTGTATAATTTTGTTTATATCGCGCACATATCGTCTTAGTCACCCGGCGCCATTAAATCTATATTTTAAAATTAATTTGTAAAATATTTTCGGCAAGTCTCATATAAATACATACAGTATTAACATTGGAATCAAATCAGCTGGAATTTGTTGTTACCTTTTATAATTGTACCATATTCCCAACTTCATTTTGAAAAGTAAACCTGAAATAAATTTGTTGCATTTTTTGGTAAAATGTTAAAAAAATGTCAAAAGAACAGAACAAATTGTTGCATTTGTTATTATTTATTCTGACATTATGGTCCACAAGGTGGAGGTGTATTTTCTCTTATTTGACAAAAGATACCATACTTCATATAATTGTACCATGATTAACTCTAATTATAAATATTTATAACTAGTCTTATATAACTTTGTTTATATTACGCTCATATCGTCTTAGTCACCCAGCGCTTTATGTCTATATTTTAAAATAAATTGTAAAAAATATGAACAACTAGAAATTTACGTAATGCTTTTATGGTTTCTGAAAAAATAGTGAATTCTTGCAGTACGGGAACAATATTAAACTGCGTTCACAACAGCACGACATGTTAATATTTTATAGTGGATAGCACAGTTAGTAGAGTTCCGAGCGTTCATTTCACGAAATCGTTTCTGAACTAGTTCGATCCGGAACTATACAACTCTAGTGTGGTCTAAATTGTCACATGGAGGATTAAAATATTCCAACATAATAGACAAATATTGAAAGGAATAATGTTGGAAATAAATAAGACTGCCATTGGTATAGCAGCTGGAGTGGCCGGGACATTGTTTATAGGATACTGCATTTATTTTGATAACAAACGACGCAGTGATCCTGATTACAAAAAAAAAGTTAGAGAGCGTAAGAATATTTTTCGATAAAGTAGTGGGACATCTTACATAAACTTCATGTTTTGTTTTTGCAGGCAGACGAAAAAATCGTAAGAATGGAAACAATGCCCGGAGTGGATTGCCAAACCTTAATGACCACGAAGCTATTGAAAGGTGAGATTTTATATAAGTCATGCAATATAAATGTTCGTAGTCAGGGAAAAAAACATATGAAGACAGTGTATTTATATCACTTGACGCTTTTGAGTCATTGTTATTCTTTGTATGTATATGAAATCCCTTGCACTGACGAAATGTTTTTTCTGTCGATATATGTACACATTATGAGCAATTGGGATTTTTAAATATTTTATGGAGCTATTTGATTGTGCAAAAATTATTAATATTTTCATAAATCTATGAAGCAAAACGGTATGGATTTATTTTGTATTTTTCATTAAGTGCATCTCAGACATTTGGGGAAATTATTACTTCCAGAGATATGGGACTCTACATTTCCAACACTATCCCCACCTTTTTGCAACATTTTTAGTATTACTAAAACAAAATTTATCAATACATTTTACAGCAAATTAACAAAAATTTGTAGCAAAAACAATTACAGTTGCTTTTGAAACTAAAACGTGAAAAATACGAAGTTACATTATTTTTTTTTTGTAATATTTTCTCTTTTTTAACCGAGAAGTATGAAATTATTCCAACTTAATTGATATAGCTATTCGGAAAACCATTTTAAATTAAAAGAAAGTTCGGCATAAGTTGAATGTATGAACTGTAATTAATTATCCGCACTTTGTTTAACAGGATATTGGATTTTAAGGTTAAATTTTTCTTTTTGTTTTTGCAAAATAGTCAGGCTGAACCCAGTTTGTTGTTTTTATAAAAAAAAACAAACCAACACTACTTAAATTTTTCTCCGAAAACGCAAAGCATATATTTTTTTCGAATAAGCAGAGTTAATTTTAAAGAAATATGAGTGTTTTAAATAATCTCGTATTCAATTAACCGATTTTTCGTTTAAGCGGTGAAAAATGTGTGAAAATTTTTAAGTTCAGACATTTTTTTTTTCCAATTAATGGTTTGCAATTAAACGAATTCGACTGTAGAAATTTGTAGTTAAAAAGGTAAAAAATGGTACCAAATTTAGTATTGAGTGTAGGGATAGAGCTATTTATATTTATAATTCTAAGGTTTTTTCTTATAGTTAATGTTGGAGTGTATGTTTGCGATGTGAAGGAAGTACGAATGGTACTAATATTCTAATTGTGTGTAGGGATGAGATCTGAAGTGGTATTCGAAATTATTACTTACGTGCACAATTGTACCAAAGTTTATATTGAAATATTTGAAATTTAGAGTTGTGTCAGTGTCATTTTTAAAATACTAACGTTCTGGAACAATTTATTGGTTGTTATTAGTATATGTACCATGTCAATAATAGAAAAAACTGTCAACATTTTACTGAAAAATAATTTTATAATATCATCTTTATCAATATCAATATTTTGCACTAACAGGCCTGTATTATTTTGGAACCATGCCTGTATTATTTTTATATTACATAGATGAAGTTCGAAAATAGAACCAGTCGGTCAACTAATTCTGGTATTTCTCCTCCAAAGTATCAACATTTTAAAATATGTTAATCCAATAGAGTAACTTCGGGTAATGTGGACTACCATTTTCATTTTTGATATTGTCGGCGTAATAACGGTACAAAATAGAAACGAATTAGCATAATTACAAATGGTTGCAAATATACAACCCTTTTAAATATACTAGGGTTTTGTACAACGAAGTGTGTCTTTTTTAGCCTGCATTATTTTATTATTTTGGTATTTTCAATTTCTTTATTTTTCATGAATGGGAACCTAGCCACAAGGCCATGATCGGTTCCAAAAACCACTATACATCTACTACTCTAAAATCTTAAACCTAACAATAGATTTATCTTAAAAAAAAATCTTAAAAAACATGAATAAATAATTAATTTAAATTTTAACATTAAATCACAGTAAGGTGTATAAAAAATAATTAAGTAAAATAAGCAAAACAATTAAATAAATCAGCTATGCAACAACAATATCAGGGCAAGTAATACGAAAGAAAATACATCAAAATCCATTCAAATTTACATATTCAATCAAAGCTTTCTTATAACATTTAATGGAACCACTAAATGTCTTGAGACCCTGTGGCAAACCATTGAATACTCGAGCAATTCTTACATGAAAGGATTTCTCCAACAGGGGGGTCAAACGAGCAACATGAATTTGTGTATTCCTTACAGACCTACTAAATGAGAACAATTGCAACACAGAGGGTGTGGTTTGGCTTTTAAACGTTTTAAAGAAAAAAATCATACACCTAATGCACAAAAAGTGATCAAAGGAACTACCCAGAAATTGCTTAACATACGGAGAAACATGATCACGCATCTTCAACACAAACACAAAACGCATGACTCGATTAAACAAGAGCATAAGTTTGCGTAGGACGTAGTCACAACTACCACTAACAATTTCAATACAGTACAAAAGTGTGGCATTATCAGCGCATGTACCACCTGAATTCTTATATCCCTAGGGAGAGCAACATCCAAACAATATAACTTTCTTAAAATAAAGTTAACCTTGGACACTAAAGAATTGACATGAACATCAAACACCAAACCATTATCAAGCAATAAACCAAGACACTTAATTGAGCTTACAACATCTATAGACACACTATAGATGGAAACATTTATAGTATTAACTTGGTTCTTGCCAAAAATCATAGTTTTAGTTTTTTGAGTATTTATTGAAAGCCCATTATTCGATAACCACGTGATTAGCACATTAACATTAAAATCAATTGAAGACTGCAAAACATCAATGAACACATTTTCTTCTTTAAACAATATTTGTATATCATCAGCAAAAACAAACGACATACAATTCCTACTATTAATACAACCGAACAAATCATTAACATAAATTACGAACAACAGGGGGCCCAGAACAGATCCTTGAGGCACACCACTACTCACAGACAACATACTCGAAACACAATTTTTACAACTTACGTATTGCTTTCTACCAAATAAATATGAAAATATGAGTTTACACGCTGAGGTCGAAAAATTAAAAAATTGATGCAGCTTACTTACTAGCATTGAGTGATTGATTCTGTCAAATGCCTTTTCAAGGTCCAGCGACAGCAACACACAACAACCATCCCCAACAACTGACTTTCTTATATTGTCAGTTAAACTAACAAGTAGGGACGTTGTACTCCGATGATGTATAAACCCATATTGACTATCATGGAATAATGATCGCTGGTTAACATACGCAAGAATTTGCTCTTTCAAAACATGCTCAACCATTTTAGACAGTATTGGCATTATCGATATCGGCCTATACTCTCTTACATCATTACTTTTACGTATAGGCACAATTTTCGCTATCTTCCAAACCTTAGGCAGTTTTTCCTATCTGTTATCATGGTATTTACAACATGCAACAAATAACGTCCCACTAAAGGAAACAGAAACTTAAGCTGAAAACTATCATACCCTACAGCTTTAGACTTAATCTTACTAAACACATCTACAATTTCAACATAATCAACATTACGAAACGAAAAACCATCATAAACACCCTCAGGAACACACGAAACATCGAATGGATCAACAGATTGATTAGACACAAAATCAAAATTCAGTCGATCAACATCAACACCATCCACGTCATTGCCATTCTCTTTTATTCCACTTTTATTCAAAATCACCCATAAATCTTTTGTTTTTTTTTATTGGCAAACATATCCCTATGGGCTACGGCTTTAAGTCTCCTAATAACCTTCTTTGCTCTATTACGCACTCTACAATAAATTCTCCAATTTTCTACAATTCTATCTTGCAAATATGTTTCATACACCATATCTCTTAATGACAGATGATAACATATATCTGGAGACTTAAACCAATCATTCTTATCAATTCTACAACAACGCCTTTTAATTGGAACAACACTATGCATATAGCGTAGTCCACGGTTGAGTACATCCACCTGATAATCAACATCATTCACACTATACAATTCATCCAATCCACACACATCAAAAGCATCACATAGCGCCACAGGATCAACTGAGCTGTAATCCGCAAATTCATAAAACTGCTTAACACGATGACAAGGCAAAGATAGAGACAAAAATATAAAGGAGTGGTCCGAAATACCAGGACACGAAAATTGATTTGATAAAGCCAACAAATGAACAACGAAACAATAAAACAATCCAACAATGAAGTGGAACCATGAGCAACATCAATATGCGTTGGCTTTGAGTTATGTACAACCGACAAATTCATTCTGTTACAAACATCTCTTACAACCAAACTGCGAGACAAATCAAACGTGTTATTATTAAAGTCACCCATAACAATTACATTGGAATATCTTACAATAATATCAGAAATTTCATCCTCCATGGCTGCAATATTACCATGTGGTAAATACACTACACCAATTAATACAAAATTGCCATTCACAATCACTTCCAAAAATATATACTCCACTATACCAAAAGAAAAAAAAAAAACATTGATACTGAAAACAACTTTTTGCCTTTTTTGCAATCCTGTGGTAAATTAAAGCTTCATGTATTGTGGTATTGTGAACTATTGTAGATCTACAATATCTACAATAGGCACAATATCTATAATGCCAATTTACAAGCATTCATACAAGCATATGTTGTCTAAATATATTCCAGGTCAAAGATATATTTGTCTATAAAAATGTCATATGATGCATTATATTTTTTAAAGAACCTAACCTGCAAATCGTAACCACTCCACAGATGGTCAACTCTTTGATAAAAACATATACTTTATATAGCGAATAATAAAACCTGTGTGTATAATAAAGACGACCGGCAAATGCGACTGCATTATATTTAAGTCTTGCTACTATGTATATATGAATTTGAAGTCTTAAAGAAGAAGAAAAAAATTGTCATTGTTTTTGGTAATTAATGAAAAGTTCTTCTTTTCGACGTCGGACAGGATTGCCGATCATACTGAAACAACCGAATCTCAAAATTCCAACGCATTTAGAAAAAGCAAATATCAGGATCTGGCTCAAAATGGCGGACTTCGCAAATTTATTTTTTGGAAAATCGTCAATTTTAGACCCCAAACCAAGCTGGATAATAGGGAAGATCATCACCGATTGGATTTATACTATTTCATGGAAGTACCTTATATCTTTAGATCCGACGTAGGATCTTTGTAAGGCTATTGACATGACTTCATTCAATCGTGTAGATATGGTGTACCGTTTCTCTCCACTCTGAGACTTATTGTCCATTGTGATCACCCTAAAGTCGTAAAAAAGTAGAGAACTGGAAAAGAGAAGATAATGACGATAGAAAAGGGGTAATATGTTAATTTAACCATAACAATTTTCTAGCAAAGCTGTAAATGATTTTGGGATCTATTTTGGAGAAAAAGGTTTAGCGTTTCTATCTCAAATCTCCAAAAATGTTTATACCTTCTGCATCGAAGCATGCGACATGGACAAAGTAAATATTCGATAGTTTCTATTTTCTCGTCATCCTCACATAGAGGACAATAATCTACCCCATTAATCTCACATTTTGAAAAAAAGAGTTCTGATTCTGCAGTGATCTGTTATGATCCCTATAGTTCACCCGCTCAGGTGTCTCTGCTTAGTATTAAATTCCTTAAAAATTAAGGTGTGTGGAAATATAGACTTGAATTTCTATTGTGACATAGTTCATAATCTCCTATTAAATTTATGACCGATCCGGTTTAATCCAGAACAACCTCGATGCACCCATTCTGTACATCCATTGCATCTCACAAAAAAAAAAAAATTCTATAAATAATTTAAATCTGTCTGCATCGACACTGGAATTAAAAACGATTGTGTGATGTATAACTCCCGCGTGGTTTATTGCTGCAATTATAGTGACATTACGACCTCTGACCGTAGGCAACACAATGTGTGCTCTTCTTCCTTGTCTTGAACGGGCTTGGGTTCTTCGTATGTGAAGATTAAATCCACACTCATCAATGAATATTAATTTTTCTCCTTGTTTCCATTTTGTAAAGTCTTGAGCATATTTTTGTCTCAAGCCTAATGTTCTGGAGTCATTCATTCGTTCTATTTCAATAGAGGCCATCTTCAACGTAATTTTCTATGCAGCTTGTGGAAATATTTATATCATTTTATCTCAACAGTTTAGTTTTTATGGCTTTGAGGGTAATTCCAGGTTGACTTTCTATATAGAACTCGATCAGACTTAAAACTTGTGGTGTCAACAACTTAGTTCTATTTCCTCCACATTGTGTTGCCTACGGTCAGAGGTCGTAATGTCACTATAATTGCAGCAATAAACAACGCGGGAGTTGTACATCACACAATCGTTTCTAATTCCAGTGTCAATGCAGACAGATTTAAATTATTTATAGAATTTTTTTTTGAGAAAATCAATCCAGAGTTGGGAAATAACGCTCAAATACACAAGCGACATGACGTAAAAAATTTGATCGAATCCAAAAGATGCAACCTTAAATTCTTACCGCTTTATTCTCCAATGCTAAATCCAATTGAAAATGCATTTTCAAAAATAAAATTATGTGCAAGAGCTGAGCTGTGTGACGTTTCAATGGAACATAACATTGTTGATGTAATCGAGCGAAGTATTCAAAAGCTTACTCGGCATGATTGTTCTAACTACGTTATGGACATGGTTTTGAAAATCCCACAAGCTGCAAGTCGGGAACCCCTTCATTAAGATAAGCAGTTACCTTATCATCAACAATTTATTAAGTCAAATATGTATTTCGCATTTAGGACCGGGTATTCAATTCTTGTTCTTAAATATTTATTTATTAAAATGTCAATAAATACCCCAGTTTGTATTACTATTTATTTAGTTTTATGTAGTAAAGATATTAAATGAAATCACACCGAATTAAAGAATATTTATGTTAATTACATAGCCATACAACTATATTTGTTAATATTCTTTGATTTAATTTTCAAATATTGGTTTAAAATTACTGCAAATATTATATTTCCTTAGATAAGAATAAAGGTTTCATTTAATTTGGAAAAAGTTTCATTCTATTTGTAAAAGGTTTCATTTCAATTGGAAAAGATTGGAAATTGGAAAATTGGAAATATGGAGTAGTATGGTTTGCAATTTATTTAAAATCGGCCTTTGAGGCTTCAAATTGCATTTTTGAAATAAATAAATAAATAAAATAAAAGGTTTCATTCTATTTGTAAAAGGTTTCATTTCAATTGGAAAAGGTTTCATTTAATTTGGAAAAGGTTTCATTTAATTTGGAAAAGGTTTCATTTAATTTGTAAAAGGTTTCATTTAATCTGGAAATGCTATAAAAGCGAGCCTATGATGGTTCACGCAGAAGGGGAGGGCAACGAATTAGATGATATTGCTGATAGTGTTTTAAATAAGTTTGAGGGAAACGGTGCATTCGAAACTATTGTACACTGCGTAGCATAACTATAGCCGCAACTTTAATTTAATTGGTATGTTAGTTTACAAATAAAATGGACCCATTAAGCTATGGTTCACAATAAAACGATCAAAAACACATATTATTCAACAAAAATAATTAATTTATTCTTTGTGATTTCGCCGAATTCTGCACTTTCAAAATTACTGGTGTTGCATAACTATAGACGCACTTTTACAAAATTTGAAAAATTTATTTTTTAAAACTTAAATAAAATAACTTTTATAAATAATCTACGGTCGGAATCACGATATTTCTTAAAACGATATTTCGGTGGCGGTTCCTTAATGGTCTTGGGAGCAATTTATAGCCACAGGATGCTTTATTTGACATTTCCATGTTGTCGGATGAATTCAATGGAGTACGTTCAAGTCTTGGAAGACAAATTATTGCCATTTTGGAAAGCAGCAACAATGAAGGACTCGTTTTTAGCAGGACAACGCACCAGTCCAAAAAATTCGCGAAATTCGCCAATCGATGAAGACTTGCGAAAAATTTTGATCAACAGTGTGATGGATAAAATGTTTGAACTTATTCAAAATAAGGGAGGCCCTACCCATTATTTATAAAAGTTATTTTATTTTATTTAAGTTTTAAAAAATAATTTTTTCTAATTTTGTAAAAGTGGGTCTATAGTTATGCAACACCTGTAATTTTGAAAGTGCAGAACTCGGCGAAACCATAAAAAATAAATTAATTATTTTTGTTGAATAATATGTGTTTTTGATCGTTTTATTGTGAACCATAACTTCATGGGTCCATTTTATTTGTCAACTAACATACCAATTGAATTAAAGGTGTGGCTATAGTTATGATACGCAGTGTATTTATGAAAAAGTGATGTTTTTAATACTACGGTATGGTATACTAGAATTGATTGCTGACAATTTCCTGTTTTTGCATGGCAAAAACAATTCTCAAATGATTTTTGAATACTTTGAAAGTCTAGCGTTGCTGTTTGCATTGGTAGGTTTTGAAACCAGCTTCCATCTGGCTTGATCATTTTCCCAATCTCACTACATAATTTAAAAAATAAGTTGCTACAATATTTTTTTCTTATTTTAATGCTATATTGTTTTAAGTTGATACTAATCAATTTCATATTTTTTAGGTATTTCCTCCAGGAAATCCAAATGGGCGAAACTCTAATTGCACGTGGAGATTTTGAAAGTGGAGTCGAACATTTGGCGAATGCTTTGGTAGTTTGTGGTCAACCTGCCCGTTTATTGCAAGTTTTACAAACGACTTTGCCAGCTCAAGTGTTTGCTATGCTTATATTAAAAATGCAGGAATTCGGCAACAGATCAAGTGGTGAAAATAATGAAGCTCCAAGGATTGTATCGGCCAACCAATCCGATATGCAATCCGCTGGAATGGGCAGTTCGTCAGGAGGAGTTATAATTGATGACTTAGAGTAGTCATAAACATTTAAATGTTGCGATGATTTAAAAAATTGGTCGATTGATTTAGCTTCTATGTAAGTTATTTCTAGATATGTTTTATTTGTTGGATTCCAAAAAATAAAGAAGAAATTTATGTACCATGTTATTAAAAGTTGCATTTTATTAATTTTTATGTTGGACAAAAACTCAAACATTCAGGAGCATGGAAATAGATGAAATGACTACACAACAATGCGAAATACACTCACAATAATAAAAAAGATAATTACAGTAAAGTACGCTTATAGCAAACTAGTTCGTTATAGAAGAAGTTCGCTATATTCAAGGTAAGGAAACCCCTAGGATTAGCAGAAAAATATATATTCAGTTCCGAAAAAAGCAGCTTCCTTATTTTTGATGAACCTGGCATTTTTTGAAAAGTTTGCCAGCGTTAACGTATAAATTAACTTTTGTGTGGACTGTCATGAAAGATGTACCTGAATAAATAGGGCGTTGTTAAAAAAGATCGCTATAAAAGTAAAGATTTGTATAAAAAACATGTTATATATATACATATATTTTCCCTCTCTGTAAAAACAATAATGGTGTTTTTCATTGGCAAAAATGTTCGCTTTGGGATAACTACTGAAATGTCCGGAGAACTCGGACATCTAACAGTGACTCTAGTAGAGAATATCGTTAATTAGTCTATCTGTTGCGTAATTTAGACGATTACTAAAGAGTTGTGAATAACATATCTCATGATGAAGTCGCAAATATCAATTTTATTATTTGAAAACAGGTTACAGATTGTAGGAAGTCCACTAACAGTTTAGTGAACTGTTATGAGTATTTTTGGAGTTAGATAAGTGATTTTATTAGTTCAAGAGAAAGTACTTGTTCTTTACATATCTGCCCTAAAGTGGATCATAAAATGTTATTTATTACCCTCACGCTGTGTGTGCGCATGCCTGCATTGTAGATAAGCAGTGCGTGGGTAAAATGTAAATGATATCGCCGCACACAGTGCTTTTAAACATGATAATCTTTAGAATGCATTTATTTGGTGTTCGTGTTTATTTTGGCTGATCGTAAATAAAGATCATAAATGTGTCCAAACCCAAATCTATTTAAACGTTCTATGTATGTATTTGAAATGTATTGTAGTTTTATGCAATAATCAATAATATTTAGGTGTAGAGTTAAGAAGAAATTTTAAATAAAATGAGTTCCCTTCAACCCACGGAACGAACAACATCAACCGCGTCCGTGTTTCTTCTCTTAGTTTCTCCCGACACATTTGTGATGAGATCAGGAGTCATCCCATCATTTGGTGACCCCGACGTGATAGGCGCGTAGTAGAGAACAAACTACGTTTGCTATCGCGTAGTACTTAGTGCGTGATAGGCGCGTAGTAGAGAACAATCTACGTTTGCTATCGTGTAGTATTTAGTGACGTGTTAGGCGCGTATAATAGAAAAAATACGTTTAGTGTATCGCGTAGTGATGCAATATGCGTGTAGTAAGAATGAACAACGTTCAAGCAAATATAGTGTTAGGTTTCCATTTTAGTGTAGTGATAGGCGCGTACTAAAGGACAAACTACGTTGGTTATCACGTATAGTGACGTGTTCAGTCCGCAGTATAGAGTAGAGTAGAGAGTAGAAGGACAGTTTCTATTTCCATAGCTTAGATTTTTATTATTAGGAAAAGACGTTAAAATGAATTTTGAACATTTCATTCAACATCAAAGGATGTTGGGCGAATATATCGTGTCTATTCATTTAAAACTGAGCAAAATTGGTCAAAAACGTGTGGCAGGAGAAATTAGAGAGTATTGTTTAAGATTAGCAGATTCCTTCATAGAAACAAAAAAGGAATTCTCAGATAATGAGGTGAATCTCCGTCATATGGGAAAGGTTTCATACGAACCTATCGTATTCGGTTTAGAAGTACGATATGCATTTATCGAAATAGAGTTAGGTATGGAGAAGAGGGGTATATTTGTCCCCATAGAGGCTCCACGACTAGAAGAAGTAGCTACTTTGAAAAATTTAAGTTTATTAGAAATATGTCCAACTAAGGACATAATCCTCCTACCGACAATGAGAATAGACGATATAGTTAGTACACTAAGTTAGGGATGTACGGTTGTTGATAACAACCATCCACTCGGATGATCATCCTTTTATATATACCTGTAAGCGTGGTTTTATATTTGCCGGGATCGGGATCGGTGTTGAGAGTCTCTCTCTCTCTCAGTGGTAAATTGTGAATTGTGTTCGAAAACATTGCCACAGAATTAAAAATTGCGCAACTCTAATTACTCTCTCAAGAGAGAGAAACTCTCAACACCGATACCGATCCCGACAAATATAAAACCACGCTAAAGAAAAGAAAAAGAGAGAGGGGAGGAGTAGGGAGAAAAGATAGTGAGAGAAGAAGAGCGGAAGAGAGGTTATTTTAGCCATGTCAAATTTTTGACAAAGCCTAGGAACTGGTTTTGGTCTATTTTGGAGAAAAAGACTAGATTATCAATTTCATACCTTCGATTTTGATCTACCTCTTATTGTGTGTCAGCAGCGAAGACGTTCTTTTGCGAGAGAATTCAGGCCAGATAGATTTAGAGATTCTGCAAGCAGGTTCCCTTAGCCACCAGTTACGGACTACCTCGCAGTGGAACGCGCGGATTATAGTGTGCGACTTCACCGCTTAAGGGCCGCCTGACTATCGACATATATAGCCGGTCCCGTAATGTCGGCATTAAGTGATTTTACTATCTCGGCCGCTTTTGTGATTGCAAGAATCTCTGCTTGAAAAACGCTACAGTGATTGTTGAGTGCCAGTGCCTTCCTCCATCTTAGACCGGTCTGTAAAGATTGACAGACCTGGCAGAGGTAAGGATCCACTAGTCCAGGATTCCCTACTAGGAAATTCAACTTTGATGTCATTAAAGTCCCTATGAGGGGGAATATAGTCACTAATATGACTAATCCCTCTAAAGAGGTCATAACCAGACGTTATGTTTAGGATGCTGGCATGACCATAGTTCAGCGATGTCTAGGCATCCGTTTCCCGGAGTCACAGGGCACACCTGGCCGCCTGGAATTTGATCAGGATTGAAGCCGATCGCTGAACTCAATTTTGTCAGCAGCATCTTTTTGTTAATCCCCTGCCACCAAACAAGACAACCATAGGTAAGAATGGGTAAGACGATCGTCGTATACAGCCAGTGTATAATTCCGGGTCTCAATCCCCAGCTCTTACCTATGAAATTATTACATGAGTAGAGTGCCAGCAATCCTTTCTTAGAGCGTTCCTCAAAATTCCTCTGTTACCTCTTTCTATAGGCTTGGGATGTACGACTGAAGTATACAAGTCCTAAAAATGTCCTGCAGAGATGATATTACTCGTTCATCTGCGCGTTGCAGCATGGCCGGTATTATACCATCTGGGCCAGGAGGTTTATAGGGTTGAAAACTGTTTATCGTATCTTATAGTATCTTCTATCAACTTCTCCTCCACCCACCCTATAGTCCTTACAACCAGGAAAGTGGGTTGACGATAGAAGATCAAGAGTCTCACTGCCAGAGTTTACTACCTATGGATTTTGGATCCTTAGATAGTACTCTGCGGAATCTGGCCGCTTCGTTGGCTCCTTCGATTGACTCCCTATAGCAGACCCAAGACTCACGTTTAGCCTTCTTGATTTCACTCTTGTACCTATTGAATTGTCTTTTATAGACATCCCAATCTGCACTGAGCTTTGTCTTACTAGCTCTATTGTAAGCTTTCCTTGCAGCCTTCCGAAAGGTTGCAAGGTTTAGTGACCACCATACCGGCTGAGATTTTTTCCCAGGGTATGTTAGGGGACAAGAAGCCTCATAGCTCTTCAGAAGAGTGACCGTGACATTATTCACAGCTAATTCAACATCCTCAACCGTTTTAAGATCTTTATGATCCAGGATCGAGGCTGCTGTTTTAGCTTTGAATTTGTCCCAGTTTGTCTTCCGAGGATTGGTATAAGGTTTCTGTTTACCTCTAGGGGTAGGAATCTGGAAGGATATGTGTCTATGATCCGAAAAGGAGCATTTCTCAGACACCTCCCAGTTCATGACCCCAGAGTCGTCCATATTTGTGAGGGTTATGTCGATGACTTCACCTCTCGTCCTATTTACAAATGTTGGTGTGTTGCCTCTATTACAAATTTTAAGGTTATAGCTAAGTATAAACTCAAAAATGGACTCACCTCTTGTATTAGTGTTGCTGCTTCCCCAGTGGAAGTGATGTGAGTTGGCGTCACATCTGATGATGATATCACCAACTTTGCCCATCTCCTCCATTAGGCGGCATACAACCATACCGGGCGGGTCAGGAGCCTCGTAAGGGAGATAGACGTCAAAGACTATCAGGGGCTTCGAGGTACCCCTATACAGTCTTGCTGTCGTCATGTCTCCATTGCTGAAATTAGAAAGAAGCATTAAATTAAGCTCTTTTTTTGTAGCAAGAATACACGTTCTTACATTCTCTCCATTGGTCAAAATCGTGTATTTTTTATCACCTAGTCCAACAACAGGTAACAGCAACAACAACCTTGACCCCTTTGTATGAGAAGGTCAGGCCAAACCGCAGGCTCTGTCGATCAACCTCGTCGGATAGGAAGAGGTCCTTCAGATGACTGTCGACAGCAACCATTTATCCTCGCTGATAAACCCGTCAGGGTCTGCTCGGTCGATGATTGCAACCCGCAGACCTTCCGGAACCTCTTTTGGATCAGCAGAGTCGCTTTGCATCGTTGTAGGTGTCTGGGCTACCAGCTTCGAGACAGCGTGTTTGGCTTTCACCACACAATCGCCGCTCCTGACAGGTTTCTCCTTCGACGCTACAACCGACGCAAACGAAGCAGAGCTTTGTACAGCCGACGACTGCGTGGGTCTCTTTGCAGCAGGTTGTTGTTCCTCCGAGGACCTCATTCTCTTGACCGCCGTGGGCTGTGGCCGAGATTTGACACCCGGGGTTGCAACCGCTGCAGAGAT